ATGCATTTTTATTAATTTAATCATCACAAAAGTGACAAATGACAAATACACTATTAAAAAAAAAAGATTAGTTAATATTAAAAAAATTCTTTTTCTTATATATATATATATTACTGGTAAAATAATCACCAAAAGCAGTTAAACTGAACATATAATAGAATAACTGCAAATATTAATAATTATTTTAAATTACTTCTAAATCGTTAATAGTTTTTCTTTGTCCATTATATAAGGAAAACTATTTAATTTAATTATAACCTTATAAAAAAAATTAATATAACAATTTTGCACTTATTAATTCCATTTAATTTTACTCATAATAATATAAGAATTCATTTTAGTTTTTTATTTGAGGAAAAAAAAAAAAAAAAAATTTCTTATAAAATTAAAAGCATTTTTTTTTTTCCGTACAGGCAGGCAATCACTCGGTGCATCTCTATGATATAATAGAAAGGATTTAGTCACCTACATTTACAAACTAATTTAATTTTATTCACTTTGGATTTGTTATTGTTGCATTATCTAAATCACTCAGTCTAGGAAATTTAATTCTTTTTTTATCTAATTCATCTTGTGCCCATAAAATTACTTTAAGTAAATTTGATAATTTAGGAGTTGTCGATTCTCGATTTTCCATTTTTAAAATGGCTGCATTTAATTCACTAGCTATCTGCTCGAAAAAAAAAATAAATAAAATTTGGAATTAATTCATTATATAGAAAAAAAAAAAAAAATAATTTGTAAATAATTTCATTAATGAGAATTAAAGTTAGAACTTACTTTTTGTCTATGAGATGGTTGTAAAAGATCACTAAAAGGACTAGATAGAGGTTCTTCAAAGGCAAGAAGTGCTAAAGTCCTTTCTAATTCAGCAAGAGCATTTGGATCTGATTCTCCTGCTTCACTTAATTGTTCTTGGGCAAAGTGCAAAGCTTCTTCTAGTTTGTTTGCTCTAATTAGCTCGATTAAATGCAATTGCTATGTAAAAAAAAAAAAAAATAGTTTTTTTAAACAAACCTTAAAACAATTATTATTTATTTATGGTTTTAAGCATTAATATTATACCTGCAAATGAAAATACAAATATCTATCACTATCTAATAGTTCAGGATGTAATTCATTAACCATAGCAGTGGCTTCTTGTATTGCTCCATTTTGAATAGCATCTCGAATTTTAATTCTTTCATCTAACGAATCTAATGCTGTTCCAGGAGAAATGCCAGACTCCTGTTGAAATTTTTCAGCAGCTTCTTTAAAGCCCTCTAAAATTTCCAATTTTATATATTAAGAACAAAAATAGTATTTGTAAATAATTTTTCTCATAGAAAAAAGTTATTGTAAAAAAATTTAAATTAAAAAATAGTGGATAAGTGAAAGTTACATAGAAATATTTTTTTTTTTTTTTAAATAATAATTTCATTGACCAACCTGTCACTAAGTAATTCATAATTAATTTATTAATATCTGATCTTTGTATATGAAGACTTTCCAGTCGATTCATCCAGTCATCTTTGGAAATATTTTCTTGTTTTTCAGAAAAACTCATTTTGCAATTACAAAAAAAAAAAATTTATAAAAAAAAAAAAAAAAAAAAAAAAAACTATAACTTTGAAATTTAACGAAAGCCAAAATAAATTTAATTAAATTTTCTGTCGATATTAAAATAGAAAATTTATTTCATTAAAGAAATTTTCATTTATTAAAAATAACATCTAAAACTACTATAATAACTAAAACATATAATGCAGGTGTTAATTATCATTTTGCAATGACGAGAATTTTAGTATCTTTGTTTCCTACCAAAGCCTTCTTGATACCATGAGTATGAATGGCATTTTATTGTCAATGTTGAGGAAATTAAATATTTTTGAAATTGAATTTTATAACAGTAATTAAATAATAATATGTAATTTTGTAAAATAATTTTTTTTTTAAGTTGTATTTTTTTTATCTTTTAACTGTATGTTTTGTTTAAATTAATTCACTTTTAATGAAGTTTAATAAACTTTAAAGTTCTTTTTGTTAGTCTGTTACCAATGGCAAGTAAACACAAAAAGGAACATAAAAAACATAAATCAAAACATAAAAAAGAGAAAAAATATAAAAAACATAAAAAAGAAAAACCTAGTAAATATACTACTAGTTCTTCTTCTTCCACAAGCTCTGATGATGCAGAATTTGAAGAAAAAAAGTTACAGAGAGAACAAGAAGAAAATTTTTTGGAATCTGCCATCAGCAAAAGCAATTCCTCTAACAAGGATAAAAAAGTTAATATTTCCAAAGAAAGAGATGTGTATAATCCGAAAACTAACTGTAGAGAATTAAATCCCTATTGGAAAGATAATGGGACAGGTCTTCCATTGAATGTAAGTATTACCTCTTTCTAAAATAATTAAAAAAGATATCAAGTTTTATTAAAATGTAATAATACACAATTCTGATAATTAAATTAATTTATTTATTATATGGCACATTTTTTAATGATAATTTACAATTTGTAAATGTATATTATTAATGAGTAGACTTATTTTAATTTTTTTACCTTTCAGCTTTTAAAATAATAAAATATTTTTTCTATTTTTAAGTTACCATCTCGAAAAGATAAAAATATGTTTTTAAAGCCAGATGAAGAATCTAGTGTACAAGTAAATAATTTTTGGCAAAGATCTTCTCAGGGAAATTGGAAGAAAAAAAATAAAATTATTGACACTGATCTTGAAGAAAAAGAAATTGTTACAAATAGTTCTGACAAAAGTGAATCTGAAAAAAATAAAGTTGTAACTAACGATGAACTTAATAAACTCGGTGCGAAAATATTAAAGGCAGAGATTTTGGGAAATACTGAATTAGTTGAAAAACTCAAAGCTCAATTAGAAGAAGCCAAATTAGCCAAATCTAATCAAGATCCTCAAAAATCTGGAAATGAAAGAAAAGAAGTTGTCGTTTTAACTGATACTCAATATACTAAAAAATATTCCAATAAATGTGATCCACCTCCGACTAAAAGGCAAAAATTGAGTATGCAAGAAGCAATGAATGACAAACACTCTTTAAGCAATTTGGTTAGTTTTGATTCTAAATTTTTTTTTCATAATTATTTAAAAACTTTTTTTCATTTTTTAAAATTTTTAAATTTACAGTTTGTAATGGAAAAAAAAGAAACCAAAGCAGATTATGTAGCTCCATCTCGATTAAAAGTGAACAATTTGGATGAATTAGATGATGTCTATTTGGATGCGACAACTTCTAAGAAATTCATTGAAAAAAATGAAAAGAAAAAAGAAAAAATGAAAATGCAAGAAGCTTTGAAAAAACACAAAACATTAGAAGGATGTAACATGTGTTTAGACAATCGAAACGATACAAAACACTTGATTGTATCAACTGGGAACAAATGCTATTTATGTCTACCTCAATTTGAATCATTAACTACAGGTCATTGTATTATTGTACCTATTCAGCATGAAGCTTCTTCTAGAAAATTAGATGAAGATATTTGGGAAGAGTTAAAGACTTATCAACAGTGTTTGACTAAAATGTTTTCGGAAAAAGGAATGGATACAATTTTCTTTGAAAGCGCCAGATCATTTAATCATTTTCCTCATTGTTATATTCAATGTGTTCCGTTGGAAAAAGAAATTTGCGATTTGGCACCCATTTACTTTCAAGTAAAATTTAATTTCAAAATATGTATTTAATAGTTTAATTTTCTAATTTTTAATTATTTAATTTTTCCTTGAAAATTTTTTTTTTTTTTTTTAGAAAGCATTGTCAGAGTCTGAAACAGAATGGAGTAATAATAAAAAAGTAATAGATTTTAGAAATAAAGATTTAAGACGAAGTATTCCAAAAGATTTGCCATATTTTGCTGTTAGCTTTGGAACTGATGGAGGTTTTGCACATATTATCGAAGATGAAAAACTATTTCCAAGAAATTTTGCAGAAGAAATTATTGGAGGAATGCTTGATTTGGATCATAAAAAATGGAGAAAACCTATTAAAGAAAGTTTTAGTGCTCAAAGAGATAAAGCACTCAGTTTTGTTAAAATGTGGAAAAAGTATGAATTCAATAATGATTCTTCGAAATCATCAGATTCTGACTGGTCACCATAGGACTCATTATTAAAATTATCTGATGATAAAAATTTTTTTCCTTTAAATTAAAATTTGATTCGAATCCCTGATTGTATAAAATTAAAAAAATAAAATAACACATTTTTATTTTATTATAATTTTTATTCATCACAATTTACATTTGCTAACTGATATAATTTACAATTTTCTATTTTTAATAAATAAGAAGGTTGACTTTTTTTATTTATTAATTACCATTTATTAATTAAATCTTTAATGGATGAAAATGTTAAATTTTTTTTCCCCCAACAATCTCGATTGATGTTCAACCATTTTCGAAGATTAATTTCTTTTTTTTTTTTTTTACTTAATAATGTAAATACAACAAATTATTTTGACATCTATATAAAAGCAAAATTATGAAGACATTACAAATCGGATAAGTATGGAACTTCTCTTAAATCTCCTCTTGCAGCCATAGACATATTTTTCTTAGATAATGCACTTGCTGCTTTGCTAACATCAGCATAATTAATTTTATCCAAAGCTTCAGCCAATAATGGTCCAGGAATTATTACATCACCGCCAAGCGACTGATTTACCATGTCTTCAACAACATAATCAGATTTTTCATATGAAGACAACAACTCTAATTTTAGCATAACTTTGCCTCTTTTAAAATCTTCCTCTGAAACTGTTCCACTTTTCAAAAGCTTTGCAGCTGGACCAAGTGTCTGAAATAAATTTATTTTCTCGTATTTAAAAGAGAAAGAAACTTTTTTTTTTTTAGTTTATAAGTTAAAATATTTAGTAATTGTGCATATGTAATGAAAAAAAAATTTCTTACTGCTCCAATATTTGAAGCTGGTCCTGAAATTACAATACCAAAAAGTCCATTGTCAGTGTAATTAATATTAAAGCAAGTGGCACCGACATGTTTTGCAGGGCCAACTACATTTTTATACAGAGGAGAAGGTGATCCTCCCCAAGCAACACTTGGATGAGTACCCCAAGCTTTCTGCAAGACAGCATATGCTAATGCTTCTTTTAAATCTTTTTTTCTATAAATTTATGATAAAAAAAAAAAAAATTTATCAAATTAGTACTAAATACATAAAAAGAATAAAATATTATTATTATTAGTATTTGAAAAAGACTAACCCAACTCCTTCAGTTGCAATGGCAACATGAGCAAAATGTGAGTTTTTATTTTTTCTTATTTCTCCCCCATAATAACGTGCATTTCCTGGGCTTATATCATTTGATAATAAATTTAAGCATTCAGAAAATTGAATTAATTCTTTATGGTCTACATTGTGACCAACAACGACACATCTATTGGATGTAAATCCATCTGAGTAAAATTCTGTCAACTAAAGTAAATCAGTAAAATTATTTTAAGGGAATTTTTTTTCATTTTCCTAAATTACAAATTTTTTTTTTTTTTTTTTTTTACCATGTCAGAAGTATGAGTTCCAATATATTCTTTATCGACAAACAAGGAATTGCCTAAGCCTGTTCTAAAACAAACTTTGTGTAAAGATTCAAACAATTTTGCAAGAGGTGGAACCACTCCAATTTCATATTTCAAACGAGGCAAATTGTCGCTAATTTGCCAATGCTTGAAAGCTGGGGAGCAGGCCACTGCATTTAAATACTTCAATGCACTGTTAATGTGGGTTCTTGTTCCTACAACATTAAATGCAGTAGTTTCTCTATCTCCAGTGCAAGTTAAGTGAACTCCTTGCTGTGCTAAATTTCTATGAATTGCAAAACCAGTGCAAGTTCGAGTTGACCATCCAACCATTGATCGTATGACATGAGTAACCCCAAGATTTTTGTTTGTTTCATGGCGAGGACCAGTTCTTAAAATCAACAAAAAATTTTTATTGATAAATATGATCTTGAAGGAGAATTAAAATACTTTAAAAATTTACAAATATTAATTTTTTTTTTATCTCTTTTTCTTAATACCATACAAAAAATAATTTTATGTTTCTAACTAATCGATGCTTAATTAATCAACCTGCATGATATTAATAATAAAAAAAAAAAAAAATGATCAACTTCAAAAATATAATTTAAAATGACATACCTAAAAGCAATAGTAATTCTTGATAAAGGACCACAGTTATCCATGGAGCTCACCATAAGTTTATTTTTTAAAACCGTGCATTGTATTTCGGGAGAATTTGACGACTGCTGAGGCTGTTCTGCAGCAGCAGCTTGGGCGGCGAAGCCCCTCTAAAATTTTTAAAATTTAATTAAATTAAAAAATTTAAATTATTATGCAGGTGCTAAAAAAATTTTAGTTTTTAAATACATTAATCAAATTCGGTAATTTTTTTTTATTTTTATTTGGAGTATTTATAAAGTTAACCGTTAACTTAAATAAAAAAAAAGTATATTACCAAAAAAACATATAATATTTACCGTGGGCAATCGGGCTAAAGAACAATTAATAGTTCTTCCAGCCATACTCATAGTGGTCAAAACTTCAGACGAAAAAAAACCTAGACAAAAATGGCTGAAGATTTTGCACAGCTGTTTAAGATTGCTGTGTGTATTAATTTTAAAATTTTCTTGCGATAATTTCACGATGTAATACAAGGCGGTGTTTTTCAAACGATTTTTAATGTTAGGTAAACGAACTACTAAACTGATAATTAAAGTAATTTTTACAAAATATAATTTCTATTAATGGTACGCATTATTTTTAAAGAATTACATTTAAATTTCAGCATAATTATTTTACAATTTAATTTTTTTTTTTCAATTTATTATGTAACATGAGAGATTAGGATAAAATTTTTTCCGCTTATATTTAGCGTAAAATTTGTTTCGAATGTTAGTGTATACATTATTAAATTTTAATAAAACTTGATAGTTTGATAAAAGATTATCAATTTTTTTTTATTATGTTTAAAATTTGCAAATTCTTAACTATGATTTTTTTAAATTTTTTACAAATTTTTCTGTCAGCATTTAAATTATCGTTAATTTATCGGAATCATGAAATCTTGAATTTTATCCATTGGAAATTTTTATGTAATTACTTGAAATTTAAAAACTAATTTAAGTAAAAATTCCGTTATTATTCTGTTATTTAATTTTTTAATTACAGAATTAATAAAATAAACTTTGTAAAAATGACTGGGAGGAGTTCTGCATATTCACCTTTACCTCAGTCCAATAGTGATTCAGAAGGTTCTTCAGAAGAGTTACACATTTCGAATGAAAGTAAAATTGTTAATAGGATAACAAAAACTGATCCTTCGAAATCTGAAAAACCATTTAATAATCATAAATCTAATGCTATAAATTACAAGCTTTTAGACACTGATGGTGATATAGGAACCACTTTAATTAGATTTCATTCTAATACAGATGAAGTATCAATATTAAAACCTAAAAATAATAAAGAAATATTTTCTACTACTAGAAAACTCTGTTTTGTGTTTTCTGTTCTCTTGTGTATTTTCACAACAGTTGTATTTGTCTGGTTTTTGCCATGCAATGGTACTTGTTTTCCTAAATTACTCAGTAATAAGATATTATCATGGGATCAAAAATTAAATAACATAGGTAAAAAAAATTTATTTATAATTAAAAGAAAAAAAAATTTTTTTTTTTTTGTACTAAAATAAATCCTTTGTGAGTAGAATTTTATGGTCCGATCAGTTTAATCACAGATACTTCAAACAGTGCCCATAATTTGGTTTTTTTCACAAGAAGAATTTCAAATGTAGGACTAACAAATAATTTCACAATCAAATCAGGTTTGACATCTATTAAAGGTGAAAATGGTTTAAAATTATGGAACATAAGCTTAGATAAAATTCCATCGGACATTGATTGTAAATTAATTGATATTACATTAAACGGTTTTAACGACTGCCTCTTATTCGGAACTAATTTTTTAAAAGCAATCGATTCAACCACAGGTATTTATTTTTAAAAATTTACCATTATTAAAAGTTACATTAATAAACATATTTGAACAATTTATCCTATGTGAATAATATAAAATAAAATTTTTTTTTTGTAGGAATGAAACTATGGGAATTTTACAAATACACTAGAGAATCACAAACGAGTTACTTTTTAGATTTTCCTTTGATAATATATGATGTGAATGGTGATGATGTACAAGATTTATTAACATCATGTTCATTTATTTATGTTAAAGAACAGACTCATTCTGATCAGACATATCAAAATTATTTGATAATTATTTCTGGGAAAACTGGAAGAATAATAAATAATCCCATTCACATTAAATTATGTACAGCAATTCATAATTTAATGTTTGAAAATGAATACACAATATCATACACTTGTTATAATTCTACTAAAAAAGGTTTTAATAAAATTTAAAATAAATAATTAAACAAAAGAATGAATCAAGTTTTAAAATTTAACTTCATTTCTAACATTATGTAAAATTTAATCGATATATATTTTAAATTAATTGTTTCAGAATCTCAACAGACTATAAGTTTAAACAGTTTACTACAGAGTTTAGATGTTGTACCTGAAAAAATAAATTTAAACAAATTAAAAATAATTCATCAACATCAGAAAAAAATAAAAAATCCGATTTTTATTAGCGGTCGTAAAGTTGTCGTGGAAAATGAGGGTCACTGTCCGGAAAATTGCAGCATATCAGTCAATATAAAAGATGATGATAATAATAAAAATAATTCTGTTTACAGTTACAAAGATAAAAATATATATTGTAAATAGAAAAAAAAAAATTGATCCATCGATTGTTAGCCGAAAAAAATATTTGATTAAATTTACAAATTTTATTATTATTTTTAGGTGTCACGCCAAAAGTGACAAAACCTGACGGAGGAAATCGTCTCGTTTTAAAATTTTGGAAATGGGAATCGAAAAAAAATTTTAATAATAATAATAATAATTTTACTAGTCAACCTACGGTTACGTTGAAAACAATACAAAATGAATTGAAAACGACGACTAAAAAATCAAATCGATTCGACGTCACAGAATATTTCGACAATGAAATGCTTCAAGAAAGTGAAACAAATTATCAGAGGAGTAAAAGAGGAGCAATAAATAAAAAAAAATCAAATTACGACGAATATTTAAATAATTCTAATCAATATTTACTACACGTCATACGTGAAACGATAATAAGCATAAGTTTAAACAATAGTAAAATTATTGTTAAAAATTTATCAGAAGATAAAATCATTCAAATTTGTTTAAAATATAAAAATTGCGAACCGGATGTGGATCGTCAAAAAAACTCACGTGATTATAAATAATTTTCCCAAATAACATTCTGAGTATGTGTGATTTTTATTTAAGATCCATAAAAATTTTATTTTTTTTTCTTTTGTTTTATAGTTTTGTTGGCTGATATAAACGGAGATGGAAAAAAAGAATTGATAACATTTTCATCGAAATACGTACGAGATGATTTTCAATCGAAAGGTGGAAAAAATTGGCATTTGCAAACGACAGTTAAAGTTATTACTTTGTAAAAAAAAAAAATGTTTTATTATTTAACGAACTTCAAGAACCTCTCTCTTTCTCTCTCTCTCTCTCTCTCTCTCTCTCTCTTTCTGTTTTACAAAATGGAAGGAATAAACCTGTACCGGTTAAAGATTGACTTTGGTTTTTTTCTTTTTATTTGTGTATAGTCTCAGGTATAGAATTAATTTTAATTTAAAAACCAAAAAAAAATTTTATTTAAATTATTTTCAATTTATTTATTTATCGTTAATTTATTATTATTTATTTATTTATTTATTTTGTTTAAAAAAAAACAAAATCACGACTGTGATAATAATAAAATTTTATTTATTTGATGTTTATTAATTACTTGTGTCAAATATAAATAAAAAAAAATTTCTTTTTACTTTCGATCATGACGTATCGTTTTTTTCCTCTCCCTATTATTATTATTATTATTATTATTATTCCACCATTAAACACGACATTATTTGTCGGGGTTTTTAAGTATTTATCCCAGGTTTCTACCCTGATTCCTTAGGGACAAATACTCGAATTTCGGTGGTGCCACTTATTATAAGATAGATCCACATCAATTCTTGAAGGTCTTCCTGAGTCCATCTTTATTCGATGGGAACGATTTGTCTCCTGAACTGGGCTCCAGTGACTAACATCTTTGGAGTGGCCAGGGTCAGAAGCAGTGAAATTCACGTTCTCGTCGAGCTGCCTCAGGTCGACAGTAGAACAAGATTTTTTTGTTTTTGGTTCTTACTTTGTCTTGTTCTCATTTTGCTCTTTAAGCCAACGGCACGTGGTGTTCCCAAGCGGTCACCCATCCAAGTACTAACCACGCCCAATGCTGCTTAACTTCGGTGATCGGACGGGAACCGGTGTGTTCAGCATGGTATGGCCGTTGACTTTATTATTATTATTATTATTAGTTAAATATAAATAAACAAACCATAAAGAAAAAAAAGGAATGAATTTAGGATTTGAAATAATAATAATCATTTTTTTCGGTTTTTATTTTGCCATTTATTTCGATTCAGTATAAATTATAAATCAATTGTAATACATAAAATTATAAATTTGTAACAATAACACTATATATATAAAACGTTTACGTTATATAAATAATTTACAATATAAACTTTTTTTTATCATTTCCGGTATTTTTTATTTTATATAAAAAAATAATTATGATTTAACAAAAAAAAAAAAAAAATTTACTAAAAAAATACGATTTTAAACTTTTTTTATTATTTTTATTGAGCCAACTGAGCGAAGAATTAAAATAAAAAAATTTCCTATTATTATTATTATTATTATTATTATTTTATTTTATATTATAAAATTTATTGTTTTTTTTTTTTAGAGTCTTGATAATTTTTTTGCCGGTTTTTAAGCATGTGTTGTAGCGTATAAGTTTCAGGTTCGAAAGCAGGAGGATATTCGATTCCCTGATACGTGATCCTTTTGTTTCCCTGACCGGATACCTGACCGGATTGAACGTTGTGGCTCACATTCGACGACGTATTAGAATTATTATTATCGAGTGTCATTTCGAACGCTTTTTTCATCGCGTCGTTTCTAAAAACAAAAAACAAAATATTTTTTCGCTTTCTTTTTTTTTTTAGAAAAAAACGTTGAGAAGGACGAGCATCAACTCTTACCGGCTTGCCGTGGTCGAAGAAACGGATGAAAACGATGATGATGATGACGTTGATGTTGATGATGATGATGATGATGATGACGACGATGAAGAAACACCGCAATTTGGTGGCGAATTATATGCTGCTGCTGCTGCTGCTGTTGCTGCTGTAGGATTTTTCGATACTTCAATAACGTTTGACGAATCTTTATTTTTACTTTCTCCGGAAGGTTCATCTATTTCAGCTATCTTTGGACGGTTGATTCTAATGTTCGATGTCGTCGGACCATTTTGTACCGAAACATCTGAAATTGATGAACGGATGTTAAATTCTTTTTATAAAAAAAAAATTTCCCCCCCCCCTGTCCGTCCGTTACCTCTGTTAAAATTATTCATTTCCGGTCTGGATCTTCGTTCTTCTTCGTCGTACTCGACTGTCGTCGAAGGTTCGCCATTACCCAAATCGTTCGACGTTGAAGGCCTTTCTTGAGGTTTAACAATGGATCTCTGACGTTCCTCTTCTTGTCTCAATAAAAATTGTTCGAGAGTTATAAACCCGTTTATTTCTTGTGCTCGATTTCTATTTGTTCGAAAATTATCTTCTTGCATTGTTTGCATGAATTGCTCTAATGTTAAAAACCTGTTGGAATCTCCAACGTTTCCCCCCTGATTTCTAAGCCTTCGAAATTCCGTTAATCTTTCTTGCGTGACTCTGCAGGTACATAAATAAATAAAAAACCGATAATAATAATAAAAGCAAACTAAATAAAAGAAGGAAATGCACGTTATAAAAAAAGAGAGAAAGAGAAAAACCTGTAATCGGCCATTTCCGGATGTGCCAAAGAAGGATTCGACGAATGTAACGGTTTCCTCGAAAGTTTTGGAGGATCCCTCACATTTCCCAAATTTTGAATCGTCGACGTTTCCACGTTATTTTCCAATCCTTTGACTTTGGCTGTAGATTTTCCTGAAAATCAGTCACCAACGCACAAAAAAAAAACCATAATTTTAACAAACACTTTTTCATTTATACAAAAAAAAAAAAAAAAAAAATTTTCAAATTCACATCATCAATTCATCATTGTACCAGTTTTGGTTGGTAGTACTGGAGTTGGATTTATTCTTCTGTAACTTCTAAAACCTGTTGTCGGTACTGGAGTCGGAGAATTTCTTTGTCCCAAAAATCTCAAATATTTCCTATCTAAACTAGCTCCTCCCTGATCCGACGATGACGTCTCACTCGCGTTTGAATTTTTTCTCGTACTTAATTTTTTCAACGATCCGAATCTTCTTTGCATTTCGTTGCTGAAATTAAATCGGGGGGGGAGGGGGGAAAGGTTAATTTCTTAATATTTTAATCGAATTATTTTCTCCCCCCCCCCTTCTTCCCTTCTACAATTACCTTTTCTTCGAATCCGACGCCAAGTTTTGATGACTTCTTGCCGGTTTGGGAAGTGACGATGACCCCAATACCTTTTTCATTTTCGGACTCGTTGGAAAACAAGTTTCAGGTTCGGGTTCCGTATCCGAATCGTCGTCGGAATCAGTTTGACTAAAATTAACAACGTCGGGTACTACTACTACTCCTCCTCCTCCTCTTTCATCCTGATTCGAAATGGCAACGTTTATCGAATCCAACCACTGTTGTAAATCCTCTTGCGAATTTGCCGCAAAATAAAAAACCGTACCTGAAATATTTAAAAAAAATTGATTAATTCCCTTCTGCGAGTATATATATTTAACGTTTGTGTGAAAAAACCAACCCGTGTGATAAATTTTAAATGAATAATCTTTCGATTTGACTTCTTCCGCGAGCGTACAAGTAAACCCTGGCAAATGTATGAAAAGATCCGCTTTTGTGCTTTCCCTACATTTAAACCCGTAAAAATTGGATTCTTGCAAAACGAAAAAAAATTTCGTCCAAGAAGCAACGGCCAAACCTCTTCTGTTACGATAATAAAGGTATCCGCAATTTTCATTCGGAGTTATTTCTTTCACGCTAACATTTCGTTTTTCTAAAACCAACAAAAAAAAAAAAACAAAAACACTAAAATTATAGTGACAACGAAAATTTTTATTTTTAGAGATGATTGATTACCACTCACTTGCAAGCATGGCGTTTTTCTTTCTCATCGAACGGGGACTGTTGACGTTCGTCGCTCTTCTACCCAGAGTCAACATGGCTTTAAGACTTTCCAAAGTGCTCACAGAATTTTTAGTCTTTTCATTCGAACAAGAACCGAACGATGATGATGATTTTGACGTTTTTTTACGTTCCGATGGAACGGATGATGGCATGGGAGAAACGGGTTGTAAATTTAAAGGTAACGAAGGGGTTTCAGGCATCATCGTGATGAGGGGTGCGGATATGGTGAGTCCTTTTTCCACGGTCGTCGAATCTTTCCCCGGTTTCTTATTGACGATTTCGATAAAATTTCCACTTTTGATGCTTGGAAGTTTTAAAAAAGTACTATCCGGTCTCGGCGGAGGTTCCGGTGGTTTTTCATTATTCTTATTCACGACGCCATGATAGAGAGCATTATTATCATCAGAAGATGAAGAATTGGGAAGTTTCGTACGCGGTTTAGGCGGGAGGGGATATAGATTTTTATTTGAATCCCCCGTCATTTTACTCTTTCTCTGAGCCGGTATCGGTTTAAACGATTCTTTTTCATTATTATTCGTCGTCGTCGTAATGAGAGCCTCCGCGGACATTTGATCCTCTTCCTTGTTAGATTCCATTTTGCATTCATTTTGATTTGATTCTTCCGAGTTGATTATTTTTGTTTCGTCCGTTATGTTTAAGCTCTCGCCTGATGATATCATGCTGATGTCATTTTTATCTTTAAACAACGTTTTATCAAAATTATTATTATTATTATTTTCATTTATTTCATTATAAAATTTATTATTATTATTACTATTATTTGTTTTAGATTCGACAACATCTTGAAAATTTTTTTTCCCGGTTGAAATGAAAGGTTCTTCGTCGGATGATGATTTATCATTTAAATTTAAACGTTTCACGTTTTCGACGGCGGAAAATATTTCTTTTACGCTGTCGTCATCCGATTTTCTTTTCATTTCGTTAATATTTTCATTATTTACATTATTGCAAACGGATATATCACAGATTTTATTTAAATTATTTTTTTCACGAATCGATTTCCCCATCAAATTCAAATTGATTTTATTTCTAACGGTCGGGGGGTTCATGTTTTCTTTTTTTTCAAAATTTTCAACCAATTCCATGACCTTTCCCGGACTTTTAACAATTTCAATTTCCGTTGAATCCTTTTTACTTTTATTTATTATTTCCGATTTGAAATTTTCAATAACTCTTTTCACTCTGTCCGAACTTCCTTCTCTCACCAATTTATCGATCGTTTCGTTCGATTGAGTATTCGAACAACATTCCATGTTATTGAAAAAAGCATTTCTTTTAATTTTATTCAATTCCGTTATGCTCAAATTTGTCGTTTGACTCGTTAAATTAACGCAATTTTTTTCATCCGAATCATTGTTTGTTAAATTTTTTTTATTTTCACTTTTCGTTTCTACGGTAGTCGATCCGTCGACGTCCGGAACGGCAGCAACAACAACAGCAACTTGGGAATTTTTCTCCTTTTCCGTACAAATAATTTTATCATTTTTTATTTCATTATCAAATTTCGACAAATCAAATTTAACACTACCGATTCTTGTTTTAGTAAAAGGAACACAAGAAGTTGATCGCGATGAAGCCGATGCAATGGAATTTCCTAAACTGGCCGATTTATCTCGAAGTTGAAACATTTCGTTTATGTTTCCGTTCTTACTTCCTACATTTTGAGCACTTGAATTATTTATCTGACTATTGCTTTGATTACTTCTCCAAGATTTTTCCAATTGAAGTTCTCTCCAAAACTTTATTTATAAAAACAAAATCATTTTTTTTTTTTTTTGAATACTATTAAGTAAATAAATTAAAATACAACAACTACAAAAAAAAAAATTGAAAACAAATAAAAACCTGTTCACTTTGAGCAGAAGGTCTTGGTGGTCCGGATAAAGTAAATCTTCTTTGTATGGAACTTCTTGGTTTTGTAAGAAACAACCTCATTGATAAAGGACTCTGAGTATCAGAGGTTTGTCCAAATTCTTCGTCAGAACTACTAGAAGTTCCCGATGGTTCCAATGACAAAGACTCATTATTTTCAACTTTTTTCGATAAATTTCTAGGAAATAAACAGATAATGAATTTGACCTTATTTTTATCATTCAAATTGTTTAAAACAATGAAACGTACCTGGTCGTATCAAAATCAGGAATCGTGAGTAATTCTGGCCTTGGACTTGGCAAATTATCATTCCACCTTGAAAATGGTAATGCTCTTTTCCTACTAGGCAACCTGTAAGGCTTCATGTAAATTTGACCATACATTTTTACATGTCGAGGCCTCCGTTTCAAAGTAAGCAATAAATCATTTGGACTTTCTTCAAAAAGAGCCAAAACTTTTTTCCTAGACCAACCGACAACTGTTTGATAATTAACTTGTACTATTTCATCACCCTGTTGAATTTTTCCAGATTGATGAGCAGGAGAACTTAATTTCATGTCACCTATTTGATGAATACCATGAAAACTTGGCACAAGAAAGAAATCCTTAAAAGAAAGCAATTTTATTATAAGTAAAAAATGTATAAGAATACAGATAAATCAAAACATGATTCTTACCAGTTCTTCCCCTGCTTTTTTCTTAATGGTAGCTAAATCTAATGTTGCTGGTTGAAGTATCATTGGATTTGTTATATTTTGTATGATCGAATCAGCAAGATTAGCTAATTTGAAAGAACAATTTCGAATTTCAGCAACAGGTCTTTCGGCAAATCTGTCTCTTTGAGCACTTGTAGCCATTTCAAGACTTAAATTTAGCAATTGCGACTTATATTCTGTATACTGAATTTCTCCAGCAAAAGGTGGCCTTTAATTAAGAATTTAAAAAAAAATTTTTTTAAACGAGATATAAATAAAGTTCCATTTTCCCATATTTATATGTTAAAAAAATAACAAGTACTAGATAAGTTTAAATAAGTATTAAATTTACCTGTCTAACCAAGAAACTAAAGGTTTTACATGGTGAATTACATTAGCAACATCAGCCATTATTTGAGTAGGCACAGAAGAACTTTCAGCTTGATCTCTAATTTCGCTGTAAAGGCTATGAGCAGCACAAGACAATTTTAAGGCCAGAAGTTGCAGATTTTCTCTATCCAACTCATAATGCTAAAACATTAAATTACAGTGAGTTTACAATTATTTATTACATAACATAAATTACAAAAGTAACTATAAAAAATACTTACAAAATTTCTCAAATGCTGAACAGCCTCCAAAATTAACTCCTGGTGTCCCAATTTAAAAACACCAAGATGTGTCAAATCATCTGGAGTTAAATTGAGAAGTTGCTGCCCATTAACTTCATTATTAGAAAACCAATGTATGTAAGACACAATACAGTTATCTAAACCCTTAAGCCACTCAGTAACTTGTTCAGGTCGCCATTCAGCAACACTCACGTAAGCCATTTTTATACTTTAGAGGTATAATAGGTATATAAACAAAATTAACAAGTACTTTATGAAAGACATTTTTTATTAATCAGTGATTTTCAAAAAAAAAAACAAAAAACAAATCTAAACATTTTAATTAAATTAATTACATTAAATAAATAGCACCATATTTACTGTTCTTAAATTTTAACTATTGCAATAAATTATAATATAAAAAAATAATAAATTAGCCTTAAATCTAAATTATAATTAAACCTATAGTACTTATCTAAACTAATCATTGTCTAACTAAATTGTATTGTAAATTAATGCAGGGCAGCCAACATAAAGAAATTACAGTGAATAATTATTTTACCGTAAATATTTCCATCCGTAAAAATTAGTTATTGTAGTTTTGTTTAATTTTGTTATTTTAATAATCTTTTGTTAAATTTTTAAGACAACATGTTGTAAATTTTGCACTGCGAGGCTCATTTTTTATTCAGCTATGTGACAGTTTAATTTTACATAAGTTTTTGTTTACCAGTACACCGTTACTATAAGTTTTATTTACTTGAATTAAAGTAGTTTAATTTATAATTTTTTATTAATTTTTAAATCATGAGATACGCACAATTGGTGGTTGGACCTGCAGGCAGTGGAAAAGTAAATATTTTACATTATAGAATAGTTTTCGATAAGAATATTTTATATTTTATTATAGTAAAATTATCAATAAAGTATTTTTTACTGAAAAAGAATTTTACCATGTGATTATTAAATTTATTAAAATCATTAATAACATGCCCTTAACATAGCAAAACATCAGTGACAAAATTAGCAAAACTAATAAAGAAATTTTTTTTTTTTTTTTTCCAGTCCACTTATTGCTCGATATTAAGTGAACATGCGAGTAGTGTTAACAGAACTATTAATGTCGTTAATCTTGATCCAGCTGCTGAATATTTTAATTACAATCCATTGGCAGACATAAGAGATTTAATTCAAGTTGATGATGCAATGGAAGATGAAGATTTGCATTTTGGTCCAAATGGTGGTCTCATCTTTTGCATGGAGTTAGTAAACTGAATAATTTTTAAATATAATTTTTTTTAATTATTACACAAATAAACTATTCAAATTTAATTTTTACTTAAAACTTTTTAGATACTTGTTAAAAAATAGTGAATGGCTCAAAGAAGAATTAGGAGACATGGATGACGATTACATTTTATTTGATTGTCCTGGACAAATAGAATTATACACTCATATGAATACAATGAAAGAATTAGTTGATTTATTAGAAAAATGGGGATTTAGATTATGTTGTGTGTTTTTACTAGATGCACAATTTATGGTTGATGGTGCCAAGTTTATATCAGGTATTATATTTTTTTTTGCATAAATTATTTATTTCGTAAAGTTTTCTGTAATTCAAAATCCAATTTTTTTTTGTTAGGTACAATGGCAGCTTTAAGCGTTATGATTAATTTAGAACTCCCTCATGTGAATATAATTAGTAAAATGGATCAATTGAAAAAAATTCAAAAAGCTCAATTAGATGGTTTTTTAGAACCTGATCCTCATTATCTCCTTGGATCCCTAGAATCAAAATCTTTATGGAGTGGAAAATATAGGTCACTAACAGAAGCAATAGGTCAAATAATTGAAGATTATAGTTTAGTTAGATTTCATCCTTTGAATATTAAAAATGAAGAAAATATCGGTGACATTCTTTTAACTATTGATAATATTCTTCAATTTGGCGAAGATGCCGATGTTAAAACTCATGATTTTGATTATCAAGATGATAATGATGATAATATTGGATATGACTGAGATTTATAAAAATAAATATTAAAGTTCTCATGTTGCATTATTTAAACATAATAAAAAGGGAGACTAAAAATTATACATTAATTTTTAAATAAGCTTTTGTAATATTTTTATGTATACAGAAAACAACATAAATTTAATATTTTTTACACTGAAATCTTTCATATATTTAAAAAGAAATTCTCTAAAAAAAATAAATATACCTAATTTTAGGATATTTAAAGTTAATTGTAAATCACATTGATTTAAAAAAGATTATTAAAAAAAAAAAATAATTAATTGTATATTTACAAATCAGATCTCACTCCGACTCCTGGTCCTGGTGGTTCTGTAGTTAAAGACGTTAGTCCTCCATGTGGTTCACAAGAACATCTCCCACTTTGAGGTCCTGCTTTAGGTTTTCTACCATTTGCTAAATCCTCTAATATCTGATTCATGCTTTCTTCAGTTAAATCTTCCTGTTGATAATAAAAAATCAATATCTGATGTAATACTCCATATATGATTTTAAAAAATTGAGATGTTAAAACTTAATTTCAAGTTTAAACCTACATAATAATCATCATTGATTTGTACCATAGGAGCATTAACGCATGCACCAAGGCATTCAACTTCTGATAATGTAAATAATTTGTCTTTGGTCGTTTCTCCAACATTAATATTTAATTTCTTTTTAATTACATTCATAATGGAATCGGAATCCCTTAACCAGCAAGGAGTTGTAGTGCAAACCTGAATGTGATATTTTCCCATTGGTTTCCTAAGTGAAAAAAAAAATATTGTTGATAATTTTTAATAATAGTTAAACTTTTTCCAAGTTATTTTATTTTATTCAATAAGTAGAATAAAATAAGGTACAAATTGTCTTTAACAGAGATAAATGTTTATGAATACCTCATATACATGGTGTAAAAAGTAGCAACTTCATAAACTCTCATTTTGGGTAAATTTAAAATTTCTGCTACTTTATGCATAGCAGATATAGGTAGCCACCCATGTTGTCTTTGAGCTAAATCTAGTAATGGCAAAAGTGCTGCTCTTTTATGCCCCTCAGGATAAATAGCCATAATAGCTTCTGCTCTCTAAACCAAGAATCAATGTTATAACATATAAAAAAATTATTTAATAAATACTTATTCTATAAAAAAAAAAAATAAATAAATAAAAACTTTACCTTCATATTTTCAGGAGTAAAATCAAAATTGACATCAGGGTTATCTTCTGGTGTGTCTCTATGCTGGAAAAATTTTTTGTAAAATTAATTAATATTTATTGTAATATTTGATTTATTAATATTAAAAAAGAATAAAAAAAAATTTAAACTTACTACAAATAAATTATCAGAATGCCTGCTGACGGAGGTTTGTAGGCTTCTTGTGCCTAGCCTCTAAAAAAAATAAAGAGAAAAGTTTTCAATAAAAATTATTTAAATATATTAAAGAAAATTACTGATTTTTAATGATTTTAATAGATAAGCAGTCAAAGTAACAAAACAATATGAAGTAGAGGTTTTTTTTGACAAGTTGGAAAGTAAATATTTACTCCTTAGATAAAATGAAAATTTAAAAATAATTTATTAATTAGAGTACTTTAAAAAATTAAATAGATTTATCATAATTTAAAATTTACCATCACATATTTTCCCAGCATCTGAAAATTGCTTAACATTTTGATTTTTCTAAATACTTTTCCCTACCAGACGACAACAAATTACAATGCAATGCCTCCGAGATTTGAAACCGCGTTCTTAATACTTATTTATCCTATGACAATGATGCTACTATCATACTGAGTTAGTGTTTGTTTTAATTTTTAAGTGTAATTTAAAAAACAGTTATATTAAAACTGAATTATTTTATAAATCCTTTTATATTAATTTCTGTCTTTAAAGTGATATAAAAAATTTTTCAAAAATGGCTACTATGCCAATTAATCCTAAACCATTCTTGAACAGTTTAACCGGTAAACCGGTCATGGTTAAGTTGAAGTGGGGGCAAGAATATAAAGGGTATTTAGTGTCTGTAGATGGATATATGAATTTACAGTTAGCTAACACAGAAGAATACATAAGTGGTCAACCTACAGGTAGTTTAGGAGAAGTTTTGGTCAGATGCAACAATGTACTGTACATAAGAGGCGTTGAAGAAGAAGATGAGGAAGGCGAAATGAAAGATTAAAATGATACATTTAAATAAACAAAAAGCGAAACATTAAATTTTATAATTTGCAATTAAAAAAATTGCTCTTCACTCAGATAAAATCAAATATGTGTATTTGATTTTAATTCACAATCGAAATGAATTGTGAACAACATAAAACACATTTAAAGTGAACTTTTTATTTTAAATGCTCAATTTATATATTTTTTTTTATACATTTGTGCTATTTTCAAAATTTTTGTAATTTATAAAAGCAATAGAAATTAAACTTGCTCTACTCTCTTACTAATACTAATGTGAAAAGTACAATGTGAATTTGACCAGCGAATAATTTTTCCTTTATAAACATTTAATTACTTTTTTTCATTTTATTCTTATTTTATAAATAAGAAAATTTTTTAACATTACTAATGACTTGAAAAAAATTTTTTTTTTTTTTTTTAAATCATAAAAATTGTAAATTAAAAAAAAAATAAAAATTTTTTTAGTTTAATTTTGATGAATTTTTTCAATTAATTTTTTACTCGTCAAACCTTAAACCCTGCATTAAAAATTTTAAAAAAAATTTAAAAAATTATTTAATTAAGTTATAATATATTTAAAAAAATTAATGTTTCATTATTTACAATTTTTTTTTTTTTTTATAAATTTTAAAATAATTATTCAAAAATTATACAGCAGGGCCAGAGGCTGAATCTTCTTCTATGAACGTCTCACAAACTTCAGCATTTTCTGGAATTTTACTTAAATTTTCCATTGAAGAAGCAATCGTTCTTAAATGCTGAATTCCACTTAACAATGATCTCAATGAATTTTCAGCCATGTTAGAAGCCATTCTTAATTCTTTAGCTAATTTGTGATTTTTACTTTCTCTTGATTCCAAATTGTGCGATTCAAATTTACCTAACCTAAGATTCATATTTTCTGATCTTAACATAGAGATTTCTGATTTAAGCGATTTGTTTTCCTGTTTTAATTTATAAACTAAATCCTCAGCATTTATTGCTCTTTTCTAAAAAAAAAAAAAAAAAAATAAATAAATAAAATAAATTATTGAAGTGTAATTGGAATTTTTTTATTAAATTAATTAAATTCTTACTGTTGTATGTTTCAAATTATTTTCGACTTCTTTAAAAGCAAATTCTAAACTTGCTGCTTCTCTTTGGTCTGTACTTTGTAAATGTTCAAGTTCCGATTCTAATAATTCAATTCTTCTGTTTTTTTCAACTATTTGACATCTTAATGAATCTACTTCCCTTAATAATCTATCATGTTCAAACTAAAAAAAAAAACAATATCATATTATCGCATGGCAATAATAATTTTTTTTTTTTTTTTAAAAAAAAAAAAAAAATATTAACTTACTCTAGTGGTAGTCGTTTCGGGAAATGTCACATTATTTGAATGTAATGGAATATTCCCTCTATTATTTTTTAAATTATCATCCATTTCTTTTTTGATAGGACCATCGGATAAAAAATCAGGAAGGCTTTTTGACACTGTTTCAGGAGGACCTTGACATCTGCTACCACAGCTTTTATCTTCAACTGGTATGGTTAAATCAAAAGGAATATTAGGTAAATTAGGATTAGATTCATTGGTATTGTCATAAGAGGGAAGGTCAAGAGGGACAGATGGAGAAGAAGACATTTGTGGTCTAGATCTATTTGAATGACTAGATTCATTAATTTCATTTCCATTATTTCTTCTTCTCGCTCCTTTATTTGTAAAACTAACATTATTATCATTATTAAATTCTAAACTGGTTCCTGCATTGAGAGTAAAATCAGGTAGCTTATCACTTTTAGAATGCGACTGAGAAACAGATCCAATATTTCTTACGCCTAATGTAAAATCTGGCAAGTTATTCGAATAAGAATTTAGAGGTTGTCTAGATTGATTATTACTTCTATCAGAATTAGATAAAAAATGAATGTTTTGGTGTTCTAAATTTAAATCTGGCAAATTTTGAAGATTTAAATTATCTATATTTATAGAAGAACTACCATTGAGGTAACATTGTTCTATAACCAAATGATCTTGAACAAAATCTGGCAGGACTGATGACACATCATTATTTCCAATGACTCTGGAATTCCCTTCTGATTGACTTCTGCTTGACCTAGGATCTGTTAAATGGGATTTTGTTGAACTTAGACTAGCTGTTGGATATACTTTTTTTCTGGCACCTTTATTCCTTTGACCAGATAAATCTTGATTTAAAAATTTTTTAAAAGAAAATGGATTTTCTTCCTTTTTAGCCGGAGACTCTGAAATTAAACTTTTTTTTTTTAATTATGACGGAAAATTTTTTTGAATGGTTTTACTTAATTGAAGCAAGGTCAAAGTAAAATAATTTTATAACTCTTTTAAAGCGAGTTGTTGAAAATTTCGGTTTCATACATATTTCAAAAATTAGACTATTTTTTTTTTTAAAAAAAAAAAAAAAAAAAAAAAAAGATAAATTAAAATTATCGATATTAAACATACCATAAGAAGATAAATAAGATTCCATTTCGTAATTTTCATTTTCAGGTTGTATAATTCTTTCATTAACTGAAGGATTTAATTCTTCATTTTCAGAACCAGAAACATTTTCTGGATTTGGGTTACTTTCATTTTTAAAGGAATTAGAAGAATTATTTGCGTCTTGTTCAGCCATTTTTTAGTTTTTCATAATTTTTTATTCTGAATGAAAACATAAATGGTGGCGTTTCAAAACAATACGGATTAAATCATAAGAGGTTCCTTTTATTTTTTGGAAATAATAAAACGTCCATAATATGAAATAATTCCATAGTTAAAAATATATTACCTATATTTTTTAAAAAATTTAAATCTTTAACTTTTTGTCAATAAAAGAAAAAAATTTTTTTAAAGTAATCAATTTTATTAATTTTCTCGAGTCACGCTTGCGCGAGTCGTTAAAAATTTCAATGGTCGAAAGTTCAATTGTTATTTATGGAAATTGATTTTTCGTAAATATGGGAGCTTAGTTTTTCCTCTTGTGTTTTACCACACCTTGTGTGGAACAAAATGTCACCTGAAAAAGAGTAAGTTGATAAATTTGATTTATATTTTTAAAAAAAAGATGTTAATTTTAAATGTGCTACTTATTGGTAACACAGAAAAATGCCCATCACATACAGGCGTGCATTCCTATATTAGAAAGAAAATATTTTATTAACTTGTATTAACACAAATATATTTTTAACACAATAATAGTTTTCCTATTTTATGAATTTTGAATACGTAGGTTTTATATGTATCAAGTTGAGATTTATTATTATCTGAAAAAGAAGCGTCTTCACATAATTAAAATAAGAGAAAGGTGAAGGTGCCAGCCAGCCCACCTCTTAAAACAAATTCAAAATTTAATCATTATGTTAATTTTATATGTTAAAGACTATATATTGTTAGTTTAATAATATATATATTAAGTTTTAATTGTTCTGTGTAATGAATGAAGAGTTACATAAAAATTATCTTTTTTTTTTTTTTTTGCAGAGCCAAAATGGCGCCCCAAAACAATACAATTTTGTCAGTTTTTGACAACTTCAATAATAACTTAAATAATATTAATCAACTATTTATACTCATTGCAATAAATAACACTTCTACAAGCAATGAGTTTAGCTTTACAAGATTGGAAATGGGAACCACTAATTGATTCCGATTTAGATAAGTGGTTGCTCATGAAAGATGAAGAATCGGAAAAGGAAATAATTGATCCCTCAATCAAAGCACATGATTATGGAGCATCAAATGATGTCTCAGTTAATGTTTCAGGCAACTGGATAAATGATAGCAGTTGTGAGTATAAATTTTTTATATCAGTAAAGGAAAATCTCGAGTTCATTATATTCAACCATAATTAAAATGCTTTTGTTGCATCATTGAAAATTATTTTAATGGCAATTGATTGATTGATTGCAATTCATCTAAATTTTAATTAACATCAAATTTTGGTCAAAACTTATTATTCTAAGAAATAAATAAAATCCACACCTTAAATATTTTTGAACCTTGACCGTCATTAGCGCTGCTTACGGTAAAAAGAACAACTACTAAATTTATTTCCAGTAAATTTGTTTTTTTTTTAAACTTGACTGGAATTCGTTTTGTCAATGTCATTATTATTTACCTTTTTTTTTTTTTATGAATTTTTACAGTTGCTTATTCGATTTATTATATTTATCTAATAAGAAACTCTTAAAGCATTTTGTACTTTTTTTTATTTTCAATGTAATGAAGAGAAAGAGGGATAATTGTAAAGGAACCCACTGAAAAAAGAAAATTTTTTTTTTTTTATTAAATACCTGCAAGTTGCTTAAGGAAAAGATAAGTGAAAAGAAATATTTAGAAATTGCATTATGAAAAATGTACTGACTGGTTTTTAAAGGTCACACCCAGGAATTACAGTATCTGGAGGGGTCATACCAATTCAGTACCACTTTAGAATTTCAAAGGATTTCACGTGAAAAATTGTTTGAAAGTTTTTTTTTTTTTTTTGGTGACGGATATGAAGGTTTCACATTGATGAGTTGTAACGTAAA